CCCAGAGCTGTTTAGGATGGGTCATGACTGTGGTGGTTGGTTGAAGTGACCAGGGTTGAAGTGGTAGGTATTTGTCCCTGTGTCTGTGAATTCCACATCTAACTTGATACCACATAGGTCTGAGTGGAACATTATGTTTTGGTTGATTCATTAATTGACTATTAAGTCCCTACTATTTATAAATAATTTGATATATAAAGATGAATTTCGAAGGATTTTGTCTTCAAGGAGCTTAGTCTTGTTGGAGGATTAGGACATATACGACACAGAAGGCTGCAAGCCAAGGTCGTGGAGATGCAGAAGGTCCCGTGCTCATCTCATCTGGAAGGGAGGGGGTGGTGATGATGTGATGTCCATCAGGGCTGTGGAGATATCGGGAGGTTTGTTTTTTTGTTTGTTTGTTTTTTTAAGCAGTGGGATGAAAAATGCATAGGTGTTGAATATAGCAATGCAGGAGAAAGCTGAGCAGAAGTAGGAATGACATTTTCAGAGATGCCTAGAGACGAGCACAGAGCATCCAAGGGAGAGGGAAGGACGAGGACATCACAATTTTCATCACAACTTGTGATGTATAGTAAAAGAAAATCAAGTAGCAAAGATAAGCTGTGGCAAGAGTGAAAAAAAAATGTTAGAATTGATTTGTCATTTAAGAGCCATGTGTCCACCTGGGGGGTCTGAAGACACACCTTCCACTGTGAGTGTGAGGAGAAGCCCTCCGCAGCATCCCTGAGGAGCTCAGAGCGCTTTGATGTGTGTGCCAGACCTTGCGGTGGAAGCCGTGGCTCCTGAACTGGGAAACCTAAAAGCAGGGGAGTAGCCGAAGGGAGGGTGGCAGGGCTGCATGGTGGCACTGGATAACCAAGGGCATGGTGGGCATGGCTACGGTAATGAGCAGCAGAGTAGAGCAGCTTCAAAATCATCTGGCTCACACAGACCTTTGTCTTGGTCTGGTTGACTATGGTGTTCCTATAAGTAAAATAAGCAAAAAAGTCCTAGATTAAGTAAACAAGCCTGGCCTGAACCGTAAAAGTAGTCATAGTCTCACAGTCAGTCCCACACTTGAGCTGTTAGCTTACCCAGAACCCATTGAAAGTATGGAGGCTGGCTTCCCTTGAGGAAGAATCCTAGTACACTGCCGAAAATTGATATTGTTAATCCTTCCCCAAAGGACCTTTGCCCTTTTACTGGGTATACTAGTTTATTTTCCATTGTAGAATATCTGAGTCTGGGTAATTTGTCAAGAAAATAAGTTGGTTTAGCTCATAGTTCTGGTTGTCCATGAGCATGGTTCTAGACTCCACTCCGCTCTGATAAGAGCCCCGTGGCAGAGGGCACCACAGTGGCTAGAGTGTGTGAGAAGGGGAGGTCATGTGGTGAGACCAGAGGCCACGGAGAGGGTAGGGTTTGGCTTGCTCTTCTACATATGGATGGATTTACTGTGTGACCTTCCAAGGGCAGTGCCCGCAGAGACCTAGGGGTTCCAGCACTTCTCACATTACCACACTGGGGACCACGCATTCAACAGATGAGACCTTCAGGACACAGTCAGACTGTTCAAGTCATAGCACCAGGACAGCTGCACCTTGGGGAGAGGGAAGTGATCATGACTTTTAGGTATCTTAGGGATCGCTGGACCTGGGCTCTGGGCTGCGCTGATTCCAGGAGGCCCCAGGTGGCACTGTAGTCTGCCGGGTAGAATAGGAATTGTGCAGGTCCATGCCTCTGCGTGTGACTTTGGACTGTTTGCTGCTGGTGGCTTAGTGGTAGAGGTGGTAGAGGACTTGCCTGACATGTGTAAGGCCCTGGGTTTGAACTCGGCACGGGGTCGGGGAAGATGCTTTTTGATATCTGAAAGATAATTGGCTGAGATTGTGAGTGGAATTGTATTGAATATGTAGATCAAGTTGGGAAGAACTGACATCTTGACAGTATTGAGTCTTCCTGTCCATGAACATGGACTCTTTCTCCATTTTACTTCTTTAGTTTCACTCACCAAAGTTTTGTAGTTTTCCTCATGTAGATGTTGTATGTATTTTGTTAGATTTATACCTAAGCATTTCATTCTTGGGCGGGGGGAGTGTTAATGTAAATAGTATTATGTTTTTTATTTCAAATTCCACTTGTTCATTGCTGATATATTTCGTAAGGCTGTTTACTTTTGTATACTGACCTTGTAAACTGTACCTTTACTATAATTGCTTATTCTAAGAATTTTTTTGCAGATTCTTTTGGATTGTCTATGTAGGTAAATCATGTTAATGAAGAACAAAGCTCGTTACATTTCCTACATACCTTGGATAAACCCCACGTGATTGTGGCATGGCGTTCTTTTTGTACATTGTTCATTTGATTTTTACATAAGTTTACAGATGAACACTGTATGTCTAGGTCTCAGAAAGATTTTTTTTTGCTATAGAATGTAGAATGGGATTCTCACTCTGCTTTCTGGGTTGTGTGTGAACTTGGGTGGGGAAAGCAGTGGTTACTTTGTTACCCTCTGAATTAAATGAGGCATTTTATTCAGTTGAGTCTAGATGACAGACATACTAGTATCAGCATATTGGAGCTTTGTCACTAACAGAGACCCTGATTTTCTCAATTAAGCAGTTGCTGTTGCAGATATCGCCAATGCACCATCACTGCTGTAAATCAGTGGGTCTGCCACTGGGTGCACTGCCGCACTCGGTTTTAATAGCTGTAGAGTAGTTTAGTTTTCTTCATAATCTCTTATGTGTTTAAGAACATGATTATGAGACAAGATCGTGCTTCATCAGAATGCTAAATAGGTCCATGGTGCTTGACATTTTAATGATGGAAGGTCCTTCTCTTCCTCTTGTTCTTCCACTGCCAAACAGAATAAACAGAACTGAATTCCAGTTTTCCAGGTAAAAAAAGTAAACGAAAACTTAACCTGGACGCTGCTATACTCAGCCTGATGAACTCGTGCTTCTTCCCAGAGCCTTAGCAGTCTCACTGCTGCTGCTGGTGGTGGACCATCGGGTGGCCCTTAGTGCCAAGTTGTGGTTTAAGCAGCTCTGAGAAACCAATGTTCTTTCCAAAGTTTGGTATCCAACTTGTTTGGTGACAAAATGTAACCAGTATGAAACTATATACATAGTCTTTCTTTTTCTATTCAATGTAAATGATCAAACATTTCATTGCAGGAATATTAAGGTCTTGATTATAAAGTACTACCCCAGATCCCACTGAGATATGGGAATTGTGGGATTAACCTTTCTAACCATCTGAAGGTTCTAACTCGCTGCTTTTAAAGGTTTCAGATAAGAGGTGGTGGAAGTTGATGATTGTGGAGAACTTAGCCTTGGGAACACTAGCATATTTATTCTATTTTTACATTTGAAAAAGAACCAAATCATTTGTATTCAAATGTAGCCAAAATGACTTTTCTTTTTTTAAAGAGAGAGAGAGAGAATTTTAATATATATATATTTTTTTAGTTATCGGCAGACACAACATCTTTGTATGTGGTGCTGAGGATCGAACCCGGGCCACACGCATGCCAGGCGAGCGTGCTACCACTTGAGCCACATCCCCAGCCCTCAAATGACTTTTCTTAGTAACTTAGATTGTTAAGATAAAAATTCTATAACTTTTCTGAAAAAAAATTTTGTTTACTCTTTCACTTTATGTCTGTAGAAAGAAACTAAGAAGTAGATGTGTTTTTATAAATCAATGCATTTATTACTTATGAGATATTTATTTGGCATTGTGGTGAGCCAGGTGCTGTATATGTATATAGTGAACAGAGCACGCAAGCTCCCAGGCCTGGTGGAACTTGAACTTTGGTGCAGGGACAGCCAGGAGACAAACATCAATGCTGTGCTGGTCATTACTTATTCATGTGCAGGTTTTAAGATAACAGTATGACATACAAGTTGCAACCCAGGTGCAAATGGCAAGCCCTGTGGGTGCGGAGGGCTCCAGCTCTCGGGGAGGTTTGGCCAGGGAAGCTGCCAGGAGAGGCCGCCAGAGCATTGTTTATAACCCATTTTTGAAAACAGTGACCATACAAACTAATCAGAATATGTATTTTCAACAAGAAATATTGACTGATTAATTGGTGGCTGGATGGATTGATTGATAGTACTGGGAATTAAATCCAGGGGCACTTAACCACTGAGCCACATCCCTATCCCTTTTTATATTATTTTGAGACAGGGTTTTGCTAAGTTGCTTAGGGCCTTGCTAAGTTGCTGAGGCTGGCTTTGAACTTGGGATCCTCTTGCCTCAGCTTCTTGAGTTGCTGGGGTTATAATTGGGTGCCATCACACCCAGTCCTGTGATATTTTTATGAGCAGAAAAGGAAGGAAGTGTTGAAGAATAGAGTTCCCTGTGCTGGCTGTGTCTGGTGTGGTCGTGAGAAGGCTGCGCAGCAGCAGTGTGTTTGGTATTTGTGAATCAGGTTTGTGTTACCTGGTCCTGGTGTTGGAGGTGGAGGCAGGGAGGGTCGTCTGGGTACTCTGCAACTTGAGGGTATGAAGAGTGTTTGTATTGCATGAGAGTTACACATTTCCAGGGATTGAATGTAACTCAAAAGGTGTAAGTTATTTGCTACTCAGAACTGAATTTATGCCTCTTAGCTTGGGATGTCTATGAAATCTTCAAACATTGGAATAAGAATTCTGAATGGATATGTTCCCTTAATAATTCTATCTGTTCTCAGAAATATTTTGGGGAAATGTAAAAAATCAACCTGGTTTGAATTTTAAATGAAAGGAGAATGTTGATCTTAACATTTTGTAAATCCAAGAAAATATAAAAATATTTTGTGGGTATCATGTATTGGTTTGAGGGAAGCAAAGATTGCCATTGTTTTTATAGTATGCATAGGTAGACACTCCTTAAATTTACTTTGTCACATATCTGAAATGGAACAGTATCAGACCTAGCTTAAGTATCATTCTGAATGTGTCACATCTTCCACTTGGTCCTGTAGAGCGGTTCCATCACCTCCCTAACCCCTTCTCTAATGTTCCCAGGTTATCGAGTCCTTGGGAATTATTATCTATAAAGCACTGGACTATGGATTGAAGGAGAATGAGGAACGGGAGCTAAGCCCTCCCCTGGAGCAGCTCATCGACCGGATGGCCAACACAGTGGAGGCCGATGGCAGCAAGGACGAGGGCTACGAGGCTGCAGACGAGGGCCTGGAGGAGGAGGAAGATGAGAAGAGGGCCGTCTCTGCCGTGCGCTCCTACCGAGACGTCATGAAGGTAAAGCACCAGCTCATGGCAGCATAGTGCTGGTTTCTCTAGAGTGCTTCTTTTTCTGTTTTAAAAATATAATGATAAAAACCTGTAATCCCAACCACCCAGGAGGCTGAGGCCTGAGGAACACTAGTTCAAGGGCAGCCTGGCAACTTGCAAGGCTTTGTCTCAAAATAAGAAATAAAAAGGGCTGTAGTACTTTCCATTTTAGATCAATGTCCTCAACAAATAAAATGTCCTCACATAAATACAAATTAAAATTTCACACATTGTATTCATTTTCTGTTTTCTAGATGTTAAGGTTTATTTTTTAAAAATACAAACGAGGAAATCATGTTAAGTGAAGTAAGCCAGACATAGACAAGTACCCCAAGCTCCCTCATATGGAAGGTGAACCAAGCTGACCTGAGCTTGGGATAGTGACCAGTGCCGGTTGGGAATGGACGGGTGGGTCAAAGGAGGATTTGGTCAGCACATGCTGTGCATGTGTATTGACATATACTGAAAAATCTCCCACACCTATAATAATATGTTCTGAGTGTCCCTTTTAGCTAAACAGGAGGAAAAATAATTGCTGAGACATTAGACAAGTAAACTGAACTTTTAAAATATCATAAAACCCATTACTTAGGACCTGAGAAAGAGTTTATGGTAGTTTATGGTCTGGCCGGTGGGTTAAAAACCTCACCCTTGACTTTGTCAGGAGGGAAGGCAAGAGTCAGCTGAAGAACTCCCTTACTGTAGGGGTGGGAGACACATAACAGTGCGACCAGCATCTTGGAGTCAATTACTCTTCAATTCTTAGTGAGCAGGACCTCTTTAGTGTGTAACAAATATGCAGGGTCTCTACCGGGATGGCTTTTTTTTTTTTTTTTGGTACCATAATATGCACATGTAAGACACTCCATAATATGCATATGTAAGACACTCAGGGGCTTTCAACCACTGAGTCACATCCCCAGCCCTATTTTGTATTTTATTTAGAGACAGGGTCTCACTGAGTTGTTTTTGCTGAGGCTACTTTGAACTTGTGATCCTCCTGCCTCAGCCTCCGGAGCAGCTGGGATTACAGGCATGTACCACTGCACCTGGCCCCGGTGGCTCTTAACTGTAATAGAAACAGAATACATACAAGCTATAGGCCTCTGATTCTTGGGATGTCTATGAAATTGGAAGCACAAATACACATGCATAAGTTTTTTTCCCTGAATTTTTTGAGAGTTCTTTGCCATTGAAATTTCAGTCACAATAAATTGCAGGCACAAATTTATGTCAGGACTGGAACATGTGCTTTTTAAAATTTTTAGAATATGGCATGTAAAATACTTCCAGTTTTAAGTGTTTCTTGAGAAACATGAGCATCGGCCCTCTAAAGTATTAAGAAAAGTTGGCTCCATTATTTTTATATATAAAAGTATATCCCTGGATGCACATTCTGTGTTAGGAGAAAACTGTCGTGGTCCAGTGGACAGTGCAGGGGGTGAGGTGGGTTAAGATGCACAGGTAGGAAGGGAAGAGCGAGCCCTGGAAGAGTGACAGATGGGCCTGAAAGACCCCGGAGGTGTGGGGCCTGAGGGTGTTTGAGAAGTGACCGAGGGCTAATAGGAGAGTGGTATCCGTGCTGGGCTTTATCTTTAAACATCCTGTGAGCCTCTGGTGTGCCTTCTTTGGGAATTGCAGTGGGCATTTGGATCGCCTGCCACAAGGAATGAGTTGTGGTTCCTCTCAGAGCCTACTGTATGGGGGAGAGGCAAGTTAAGTGAACAGCAGCAAGGCGGACATAGGGCAGGCATGTCAGGCAGGGCTGGCCATGAGGAGTTTCTAGATGGGTTGTTCTTACGAGCAAGAATGGAAGGGTGGCCCCTAGAGTGGATGTGAGATACTCTGAGAGCACAGAGGGGAGGAATCCAGCTGAGAGGATTCTCTTCTCCTGCAGCATTCCCTTTTTCTGACAGTTGGAAACAAAGCAATACCTTTTGCAACAACTTATTTTGCAAACAATTTATTTTGTTGAAATTTGAAAGTGTGGCAAATTGTTTTGCTTGGTAATTAATAGCAGCAGTGTAAATTTATGTATTCCTGATGAAAAATAATTTGTCAGTTTATTGAAAAAGTTCGAAAAGTTCACTATAATAAAAAAGGTTAAAGTCTAGAAAAAACTTGATTGTCCATTAATTGGGGACTAGTTCAACTATGGTACAACCACTCGCTGGAGTACTAGGAAGCCATAAGGATTAAGGACTATCACTTCATACCTTGTGGAGAAATCTCCAGGGTTTTTATTTGAAAGCATAGGGGAGAGTGTGCCTGCTGCACTGGCACTTTTGTGGGAGGGGGCAGATAGAACATGTACCCAGGGATGTGCATGGCATCCTGACTCTGCCCTCACGCTACAAACCAATGGCGGAGAGGAATGAGTTGCCACCTGGTTTAGCAGCGAAGTGGAATACTGTATAGGCTGTCACATTAAAATCACATGAGTTCTGCGGTTGTAGAGAAACTTTAGTTTTTTTAATTTATTTGTTTGTTTTAATTTTTAGTTGTAGATGGACACAATATCTTTATTTTATTTATTTTGTTTTATGTGGTGCTGAGGATCGAATCCAGTGCCTCACATGTGCTAGGCAAGCGCTCTACCACTGAGCCACACCCCCAACCCCTTTTAGTTTTAATACTTGGGGGAAAACACACAAAATTTGTATATATTAGATAAAGAATAAAAGAAACTCTGGCAGTTTGAAGTTGTATGTCAGTCGTATTGTGACTGCGGGGGAATCACTTGGTTTCAGAAATTCCCTTCCTCTTATTATTTAGCATTTGTGCAGTAAATAAAATACGTAAAATTCTTAGTTAAAATTTATAAGTTTTTTCAGTGCTAATTCATACTTTTGAATGAGATCTGCCATACCTAAATAGATTACAAATAACAGGCCATGTTTAGAAAAAAGGTGGTAGATTCTTTGGTTGATATATACAGTTATAATTTAGAAATGTGCCTACTTTTTTTTTGTACCAGGGATTGAAACCAGAAGTGCTTAACCACTGAGCCACATCCTTAGCCCTTTTTATATTTTATTTAGAGACAGGGTCTTGTTGAATTGTGTAAGGCCTTGCTGAGTTGCTTAGAGCTTTGCTAAGTTGCCAAGGCTGGTTTTGAACTTGGGATCTTCCTGCCTCAGCCTTCCAAGCTACTGGGATTATACGTGTGCACCACTGTGCCTGGCCTGCCTGTTATTTTAAAAGGGGAAGAATTTAAGAATAGTAAAGTATGATTAGAAGTGAGCTTTATGCATTTAATTTTATAAATACTAAACTAGATTTGTCCATGTAGAGTCTTCCTTTTCAAAATGCTCATCTATTGCAAACAGCTGAAACAGGACCCATCTGTTATTTCATTTATGCTTTAATTTGGCCTAGGCTTACAGAGTTTATTCAAGGGAAGTCTGAATGTTTGGTGGAGCCAGTAAATTAAGATCTCTGTCCACACAGGTTAGTTTACTGGACAGTGTGCACCACTCCCTGGAGTGGCTCCATGGAGAGAAACTTCTCCACCCTTCCTGGTACTTGTCCTCTGAGTTATAAAGTCTGGTGGAAAGTGTGGTGCTTTTCTCACTGAGGAGATGGAGATTTAGTGATCCATCTTGGTTAACTGTATGGTGCTGAGTTAATCAAAAAGATTGTCATGTCGTTTTTTTTTGTTGTTGTTATTGTGCTAAATACATGCTTAAGCTCAGTGGGAAAACATTTTTATATTATGTAGTTGAAAATACTGATATAGTACTTTAAAAACAATTTTTTTTAGTTGTAGATGGATGCAATATCTTCTTAAAAATTTATTATTATTTTTTATGTGGTGCTGAGGATCAAATATGGTGCCTCACAAAAGCTAGGCAAGCGCTCTGCTACTGACCACAACACAACACCGGTCCAATATGGTACTTTTTTGCAAATAAGATTCTACACTATGAATGTTTGTGACTAAATATAGTTAAAAACATTTGAATTTCTGTATCTGAGAACAAACTATGGGAAAAACTGGAAGCTAATATTTTAAAATTTATTTTGGAATTGACACTTATTTATGGGGCAGAGTGTGAAATTTGAGTACACACATACAATCTGTGATGATCAAACCAGGGTAAGGAATTCAGTAGTATTAATAAAGTACTCTGATGTGATAAATGCTAATTAACTGAGAGAATGTAATTTTGATTATATCAGTTTTATGGTTAAAGATCTCGAACATATTGTGGTATGCGTTACAGAAAAAGAGGTAGACATACTGACTACCTTCTAACTTAAGCAAAAACTATATTATTAATTATGCCAAGTTTTCAGGAAAACTTCATGGTCTCTTATTGTGTAGTATTTTATTACTAAGTAGAAATAAAGTATAAATTATTAATAAATAGAATTTCCAAGTTAACCACAAGGTCTTTGGTATCAAATAAAAGTTTTTCTCCTAGTTGGTACATTGTTTATGATGTATATGTTTTTTTATTTGCCAGAACTACAAAAGTGAGAAGGTTTCAAAATGTTGATGTATAAAAAGGCTTTTTCCTCATCACATCAGTATAGGTGGGGTTTGCTGATACTTTCAAGTTCTGTTGAAAATATCTAGCAGAGTCCTATGAGTGCTGATGAAATTTTCCAGAAAATTAACTTTGAGTCCAGTATATTAATAATGATTCTATACAGGGAATTCAAATAATGGAATTGTGAAGACTTTAGAATGATGTTCAGGATTTTAAGAGCCAGGAAACTGGAAAAGATTTTCAACAGAACCAAATGGAAGTTTGAGAGCCAAAAAACCACAGTAACTAAAATAAAAGTTGAACGGATTGGTTCAGTAGCAGACTAGACAGAGCTGAAAAGAAAATGAGTGATGTAGAAAGTGTGGTCACTAGGAGACACTTTGAGCAAAGCACAGGGACACCAAATGAACAAAACGTTCAGAATAGAGGGTCAGACACAAAGCTGGTGCATGTAATTAAAGTCTTAAAGGAGAGCAAAGAAGAGAAGGGCTGATAGCGGTATTGAAGACACACTGTTTTTCCAACACCATGATCTGATTTCATTAGAGCAAAACTGCAAAACACCACATTTAAAATCAGCCAGAGGAAAAAAGATGACTTCAAAGGAACATCAGTGAAACTGCACCAAAGGTCTCAGCTGAAAGGACGGAACTGGAAGATAGGGAGTGCCATCTTCACAGTCCTGACAGTCTAACGTTACTCAGTGGAATAACTGTCAGCAGTAAAGGTGAAATACCTCTTCTGACAGAGAGAGCGCTTCTCAAAGACCATGCCAGGTGGAGCTCAGGGATGCAGGGAGAATTGAAGAACAAAGAAAAAGATAAACATGAAAGTAAATCAAAAGGAATACTAACTGCATAAAACAATAATAATGACTTGTGTGGTTTAGACTATACTAAGTTAAAACACCCAACTTCAGCACAAGTGAGAAAGTAATTGGAGGTAGCACTGTTAGGTCCTGGAATGGTGTGGCCAGAGGTTTGTGTTAGCCAGCCTTCCCTTTCTGTAATGAATACCCGAGAATAAATACCAGCTTATAAAGAGAAGAGTTATTTTGGCTCAGTTCCTAAGGTCTTAGTCTGTGGCCAATTGACCCATTGCTTTTGGGTCTACATTGAGGTAGCACTTCATGGCAGGGAGATTGTGGTAGAGCAAACTGGTCACCTGTGGCCAGGAACTGAGCAAGAGGACAGCACGTCCCTAGTGACCAGGCCTCCAACTGGACCCTCCTCTTAGAGATCCCAACACCCCCTTTGGCAGCATAACCCCAGTGACCAGGACTCCCCTAGACCCTCTTCTTAGAGATCCCACCACTTCCTGGAGAGTGGAGCTGGCACCTTGTCTTCAACATGCGGTCCTTTGGGGGACAAGTCCAGACTGTAGCAGGTTAGAGCACTAATTTATTAGATTGTGATGAAGAACATGGCCCATCTCTAGGGAAGCCAATAAAAGAAAGTAAAATAATTTGTAGATTTTGAGCTGATAGGGGAGGGGACAAGTTAATAAAATAATGACAGTGTGAAAGAAGAGATGGGAAGAATGATAAAGCTTTGAACAGAGAGCAGTTGGACAGGTAGAGGCACGTGGAGGGACAGTGTCCTGATACCTGAATTGGTGGGACTGCTCTGCTCAGGACGGTAGCAGCCACAGCTCGATTACCTGAGATGATGTGCAAAAAGTGTAAAATGCATATTTTATTCCAAAACACCTAGAAGTAACGTAAAATATCTCCTTAAGAATTTTTATATTGACTATAATTTGAAGTATTGTATAATATGTATTTTATCAGGTTAGCTAAAATATATTCTCAAGGTCAGTGTTTTTTTGTACTCTTTATGTGTTCAGCAGAAAACTCAAAAAAGTCATGTATGTGGCTCACACTGTTTCTATGGATTGTACTCGCCAAAAACACTCTAATTAAAAGAGAAATATTTTTAGACTGCACTAAAAATACAAAATCCAGCCATATGTTCTTACAAAGGACATATTCATAAATACAAAGACAAAGAAAACTTGAAAGTAAAAGAACAAAAAAAGATACAGCATCCTAACCAAAAGAAAGCTATTGTAGATATTCTTTTCAGATAAACTGGACTTAAAATGCATTACTACAGATAAAAAGTATACTTAGTGATAGAAATTTGTTTCACTAAGGAGAAGTAGCAATTCTAAATTTGTGTGCACCTAATAGCAGCCTATAAATAGTAGCATTGACAACATATTCAATTAAATAAAATTAAAATTGATAAAATTATATGGAGAAATTGACAGATCCATGGTCCTTGAGGGAGGTTTTGTGTCTCTCAACATCCATCAAAGAAAGGGTATGTGGACAGTGGGAAGAGCAAACTGACATCATGGGACCCAGCACCCAGAGTACATGTTCTTTTTAGGTTTGTGTGGAACAATGAAAAATTTGACCATTCTAGGACATGAAACAAGTCTTTCTGGGTGTCCAAGGGTTAAAATTATATTAACCATATATATTTGACTTTACCTGTTGAAAGCGACCCGTGTTCTATAGAAACTGTACTTCATGTTTTGAACCTTGATCTTTTCCCAAGCTAGCAGAGTCCTGTGCTGGGCGCGTCAGCAAGCTGCTGCTCCCAGCTAGCTCATGCCCTCCACCACGCTGTTGACTTCCTTCACAGTGATTATTAGAATTTACAGTTCCCAGATCGACTGTTGAGCATGGTGTGAGGCAGGAGTTGTTGCATGATTTTCAGGCCTGGCACTATTAAAAACATGAGGACAGCTTTCCCTATTGTTGTACCTGCCACACGGCAGCGAGCTGAGTATACACTCAGGCAGGCATCCTTTCTGGCCTTTCTGATTGGGTTCAAGTGGTCCAGTGATTGCGGCTCTGAAGGAAGCCCTAGTACCAAGTTCTCCCACTGAGTGCTTCTCCCTAAGAATGGATGCATCTGACCCTGCATTCTACCCAGCCCCACAAAAAAAAAAAAAAAAAAAAACCACCAATAACCCAGTCCCTCTGTTCCTCCTGCCCTGGCATTTCCATTTCCAGCTTAGTACTCTTCAATTGATGGCAGTTATTAAAATGTAATGATATGTTCATTTAGTAATTGTATTAATGTCAAATTTATTAAGGGAAAACTTATTTACAGCCATTTATTTATTTAAGGTACCCAGGGACATTTTACCACTGAGCTACATCTCCAGCCCTTTTCATTTTTTGAGATGGGGTCTTGCTAAGTTGTTGAGTCTGACCTTGAACTTGTGGTCCACCTGCCCCAGCCTCCTGAGTTGCAGAGATTACAGGTGTATGCCACACCTGGCTCTTATAGCTTTTTAATGTAAAAGGAGTACTTTAAAATATAGCTATTGTATATGGATATATAATTATTATAGAAAAATGGTTATTCCGGTGCATTGGACTCCTGGGAGGTATCTTTGCAATCTAATAAAATAAATGGTGCATGTATGATGAAGTTCACTATTATGTGAAATTATAATGCACCATTTAAAGATTTGAAAACAAATAAAGTGGTATATTGTCTGCATGACATTAAATGATGTATTTTGCCGCAAATGATGTGAGGGTCATGCGCTCTGTGGAGTCCAGGATGGCAGGACAGGAAGCATCAGTGGGCTCCTGCTGCCCTCTTGCTCCACTCCCAAGCACCTTCTCCTGAGTCCAAATGTTTTCCTGACATTCTTTACTACTTACAAAGGTCAACATGTACTAGAGTGAGCCTGGGCCTCAGAACCAGGTAGTGTTATGATAGGATCCCTCTTCCTGAGAAGAGGGCTCTCTGACTGTGGACAGGTTAACCTGGCTTCTCTCACTGTCATCTTCCTTTGCACAAACAGGGGAAGAGTCAGGTTTCACAGAATAGTAAATGATAATAGGCTGCCTAATGGCATGTCAGATATAGGACCTGGCATGATAACAGTTGAGTATATAGTAGCTGTTAAGATACTCTCATTTTTATCAGTAAATGGTAATTCCCTTTCTGCTCCCAACCTAAACTTTGATACATGCCTGGTCATCTTCAGGGAGAAGCTAATTCAGCCAGTCTGGTGTATTGTTGGGCATTGGTTGGTTTCTGGTCCTCCCCATGTAATTGTGTAGGAACTAATGGCCCTGGGCGAGGAGGGTTGCCTTTCTGTCTCACGGGAGCATACATAGGTGTGGCTGCTTTCCCGGTGCCAGAACCCTGACCACAGACCTTCTCTGTTGATTTCCTCTTCTGTAGCTGTGTGCTGCTCATCTCCCAGCTGAGTCAGAGGCACCAAATCATTATCAGGCAGTGTGTCGCGCACTGTTCGCAGAAACCATGGAGCTCCACACGTTCCTGACTAAAATCAAGAGTGCAAAGGAGGTGAGTGCTGTCCGCTGATGTTGGGGATGGCACACCTGAGTCCTCAACCTTGTCCTCCCTGTGAATCTTAAAATGTCCATCCCCATTCTGCTTTCTGGTGAGTACTGGAAACTGTTTAGGAAAGAAGCAACTTAGGCATAAGGAAATCTCTTCTTTTTTTTTTTTTAATATTTGTTTTTCAGTGGACACAACATCTTTATGTAGTGCTGAGGATCCAACCCAGCGCCCTGCGCATGCCAAGCAAACACGTTACTGCTTGAACCACATCCCCAGCTCCAGGAAATCTCTTCTTACATTTGAGCAGCGTGAATCCATTTTATAAAACAAAGGTTTTCATGAAGTTTCCTTCCTAGTGGGGAACAAGGACGCCTCAGCTGGCTGTACCAGCTTCCCGTATATCTGCTTGTCACCTGCCCTGCCATGCTTTCTTTTGTCCATTCTGAAACATGTTAGTGTGTTTTTCAGGAAAGGACAGGAACTCTGAAAGGAGGTGACCCTTACCTCTGATTGGATTTGATGAAAGATTTAGTGGAGGAACTTGGAATTAATGTATGGATAACCTAAAACCTTACTTGGGATATCTTTTTTATTGTTTATTAATGCCTGTGAGTTTAAAATATTGTGTCCAAAGAGAATCACTCTATTTAGAAGGTGAATTATCATGTCCTGAGTTAGATGGTTGTGAAGATTCAGTGAGATCTCATCTGAAATGGCACAGCATTCTGGATCACAATAGGGAACAGAAGCAGTATTTCAGTGCCTGAAGTACAGAGTTTATCTGAAGCCCTAGGCTAAGATTCACTATGCATGATTTGGGGAGAGACACATATTGGATGCGGAAGCAAAGAAGGAAAAAGTAAACCTCATTGCTAAGTAAGACTTAGCCCTGGTAAAAAGGAGGTGGGGGTGTCTCAGCCACATCATCCTCAATAAGCTGCCCTTACCTGAGTCCGTCGGGTACCTGTGAAGATGAGCTTTGGGCTTCTTCATTTGCTCTAGCCAGCACACTGCCTACAGTCTTTTTTTTTTTTTTTTTTTGGTAATGGTAGGCCAGTGAGAAGCTATGCCTTTTTTTTTTTTTTTTTTTTTTAAGTTCATAATATTGGACCCAAGAGGAAAGCCATCACCAGGGTGGAGAAAGGCGAACTGTATGTTATTTGGAGGGCTGTTGTACATGTTACAGACTGGCTGCCCAGCGTGGATGGGATCAGAGGAAACAGCAGCTGATACAGCTTCCAAGTGAAAATGTGAAAACACCCCCAGCTAAGTTGTAGTAAGTGGTAGAAAAGGTCACAGTTGAAGGCTGTCCTCGTCTTCCTGGTTAGGTGAGGTTGAGGTTGCTCTCCCCAGAGCTTCAGTTCAAGGATGTGAGTACAGTGCTGCAGAGTTAGTATGGCAGATTGAATGGCTTCTGACGTCTCCAGCACAGACATGCTCAGAAGCTGCTTCTGAGCATAAAGAACAGCTTAGTATTTTTACCACTGTACCCCACCCAGTGAGCTTCAGAAAGAGGTTTAACCATGATCCAAGTCTGTTTAAATAAGAAAACTGGCAGTTGGAGAAGCAGTGCCGGGTGCTGGGCTTGAGGGACCAGCCAGGCCTTGGGTTGGGTTCCAGCCGCGTCTCCTTCCGCCCTGCTTCCCCACCCCTCCTGCTCTGTGCCTTGCTGTCGATCACCCTCAGTCTTGCCCAACTGCTCAGGCTCTTCTGGGCACTCTCTCTCCTGATTCTCTCTCTGCACAGCTTCTGTGCCTGTGGCTGCCCTGGGCAGTTACCTTCTTTCTTTGACACTTATGCAGTCCCCCAGCCAGTCTCAACCCTCCATTGCTGTCATCAGCTCCTCTTGGGGGAGTTCAAGAAAAGAAGAAACATGGCACAGTCCTGCCATTCCTCTTGTTGGGGCTCTGCCACCTAAACACACCTTCTCCTCATAAAAACCTTTGTTTGTAGCACGTCAGAACCCTGGCCCTGGTTCCGCTTCTGGCCCAGTGCCTGTCCTCAGGCCTGGCCCACTGCAGCCAGCACAGGTCCTCCACCCCTCTACTCCCTCCTGTCTTCCGGTCTATCAGTCCTTCCAGCTCCAGTTCCTTTCTTGTCTGGACTGGGTTCAGTCACTTTCCAGGAGTCTGTGTCCACTGTCTCGCCTCCATCATGACAGCAGCCTCCTTGCAGGTGACCTTCATCACCGAAACCCTCTCTATCCAGTTCATCTTCCTCTTTGTTGATGGCTAATTTTTGTAGATCTCAGAGTAGGAGGCCTCAGGAGGCCTGCTCCAGGCCCAAATCCTGTGTGTTGTGTGTGCCCTATGTCCCAGCACAGGAGGTGACAGGCATGACCTGGCAGGCTTGTGGGCAAGTGGCCTGCCTGCCCCCTTCCTTGGTGCCAGCCAGTGTGCTGTTGGTCTCTGCCGGGGCACAGGGACTCACAGCCTACCTCCCCAGTGCTGGGCAGCCCTCGTCTCTGACTCCACGCCTTCCATTCCTGGCCCCTCCCCTTTCCTCCTCTGGGCCCTCAGTGAGCTTTCTGTCCAGTACTGCTCAGCTGTGAGATCCTTCCCCTGCCTGTAGGACTCTTGACCCTGCCTCAGTGCCGTCTGTGGGAATTAGCAGGCCAGGGACAGCCAGCGCTTTCCTGCCTGGCCTCTCCTCGCCTGTCCCATTGTAGGAGGCAGTAGCTCCTTTCTTAGGCTGGTTGTCCTGACTGACTGCTCTGACCCCAGGGACTTGCTGTCCTGGTTAACATGGCACCCTGTCACTCTGGAGGACAGTTAAAGCTCATTGTGATGGAGGCCTCCAGTTGCGTCATCTATTTAGGTTTTGTTCTCTCTCTCTCTCTCTCTCTCTCTCTCTCTCTCTCTCTCTCTCTCTCTTTATTTATTTATTTATTTTTTTGGTGCCGGGATTGAACTCAGGGGCTCTCAACCTCTGAGGCACCTCCCCAGCCCTGTTTTATATTTTATTTAGAGACAAAAGGGTCTCACTGAGTTGCTTAGCACCTCACCATTGCTGAGGCTGGCTTTGAACCCTCAGTCTTCCCACCTCAGCCTCCTGAGCTGCTGGGGTGACAGATGTATGCCACCGTGCCCACCTGGTTTTGTTCTCCTTCACAGTGCTGCCTTCCTCGTGTGTACATCATCCTGTGCTGTTGGAGAGCATCATGCTATCGTATATTTGCAGCTCTTGCATTCTGGGCTCTTTCTGTGTGGTCAGCCCCTGTCAAGCCCTGCCCTCTTGCTGATTTCTGTGTGACATCCTCATCACTTCCCTCCACCCCGAACAGCACTGACCTCTCTGCTGCCCCTGCCTCTCTTGTGTCCTCTCACTTTTCAGATTCAGTGGTGGCCATTTGCTTACATCCTTGAGACCCATCTCCACAACTGGACCAGGTGCTGGTTTGTGTTTGAAGCCATCACGCCGTGTGGGGCATGTAGGAAACCCGCTAGAAACACTTGCTGAATTGAAACCATTCATATGTTTCTGTGTCTTCCCAGAACCCAAAGGATTTCTTCTGGTTGAAAGGAGTCAGTTTTGAAAGCATGTTTGGAACATCTTGGTCACGTAGTCCAATGAACATGGGAACATTTATGGACTGTAGATGAGGTCTTCTTCTGTTCTTGCCATTCTGTAAGCTTGCATACCTTCATCTAGTAAGGAGTCCTGACAGGCGAGCCAAGGAGCACATGCAAATCCTGGCCCTGAGAGGTTCTGAGCCATGTAGTTACACAAACTGCCTGTCAGCACTGAGGTCTCAGGATGAAGTCTTGCAGGGTCACAGGTTTTCTTATGACATAAAACACATGATTTAGGAAAAAAGAAAAGATATAGAAATTTTAAATAAAAAACAAGTAGGTTTTCTTTTATAATATATAAGGCATTCTCGAAGTGAAAGAAAGTTTTCATTGATGTTAGTTCATGTATGTATGTCAGTGGTTTTAACCTTAAGAATGCTGAGTTCACTCTACTAATAAAATATTACATATTTATTTGATATTTTTTCTTGAGGATCTCAAATACTTAATGCATTTTAAGAATCAGACAGTATTGCTGGGCGTGGTGTCACGCACCTATAATCCCAGCGACTCAGGAGGCTGAGGCAGGAGGATTGTGATTTCAAAGCCAGCCTCAGCAACTTAGCAAGACCCTGTCTCTAAATAAAATAAAACAGGCTGGGGGGCTGGAGATATATTCAGTTGTTAGAGTGCCTGCCTTGCATGCACAAGGTCCTGGGTTCAATCCATGGCACCACAAAAAAAAAAAAAAAAAAAAAAAAAAGGAGGGGGCGCTGGGGATTTGGTTCAGTGGTAAGTGCCCCTGGGCTCAATCCGAAGTACAAAAAAAAAAAAATCGGACAGTCTATAAGTTTGAGCCAAGTGAAATTTTCAAAATAGCCTCAGAGTAAACAAAATAAAAAGTTAAATTATCAATGATCTTTCAACCTACCTTATATCAGTGTATAATTATGTCTGTGTTTTATTTAACTTGGGGTAAAATCATAGTATATGAACATTTTTGAGCTCAGTTGCTGATACCCTTCCTGATTTGATGATCTGAAAGTACTTTAATTATATTCAATTCTTTATTTGTTTAATTGGCAATGATTAAAATATAAAACCTGTCATGGCATACAATGCTTTGAAGTGTCAGGATTTTCAAAATCTGTTTTCAAGTGCCACCATTGTCCTATAAAGTGGCAGTAACGTACCCATTTACTGAATATGGGTACTTTAAGCTTTTTCCCCCCATTTCTGGGTGCTGGAGACCTACGCAGGGCCTCCACTCCAGAGCCCAGGTGGGTGTTTTCTTTGTTGTTTTGGGTTTGCTTTTTGTGGTCCTGGGAATGAATCCAAGGGCATTCTACTACTGAGTTACATCCCCAGACTTTTTCAATTTATTTGAGAAAGAGTCTTACCAAGTTGCCCTTTGAACTTGTCATTCTCCTTCAGCCTCCCAAGTAGCTGGGATTGTAGGCATGGTGAGACTGGGCTCTTCATAAAGGTATT